ACACACACACACACACACACACACCTCTTCCCCAGGGTGTGCCATCAGCACTTATATGCCACTTGCTGTGTGACCTTGCACAGTGCTGCTCCTCTCTGGGCCTGTCCTCCATCTGTACAATGAAGTTCTGCGACTCAGTTATCCATGTGGATCCTGCCACCCTGATGCCCCAGGTCCATTCCGTCTGTGGATTCCCAGCCCCCTTCTCACAACTCTCAGGCTCCAAGTCCACTGTGTAGCTCCTCAAATTCCGGAATTCCAAAAGACCTGGGAGTCTCCTGGGCCAGCCTCAGCCTGTATCTGTATCTCACAACATCCCGTAAGCTGCGCATCCAGCCCAAGCCCACACTCTAGGGGCAGGGAGCTCATGCCCTCCTGGGTGCCCCTCTTATCTCTGGACAAGTCTGGCAGTTGGAAGTTTTTGCCATTAAACTGAGATTTGCCTCCCCAGCCCTACCCCGACCTTTGGACTCCCCCGTGCATCTGCCCTGTGAGTGCACCAAGGGCTGGACTGTGTTACGTGCTTTACATGCTTTGGCCCATTTAATCCTCACAACAGCCCTGCGAGGTTTAGGTACTGTTGTTAGTCCCACTTTAGGGAAGCTCTTGAGGTATGAATAGTTTGCTGAAGGCCACACCACACAATTAATAGGACCTGAGTCCTGCTCTTAACTTGCATGCTCTCTATGTCAGTTTAGCAATATCGTCCCCACTGAAACTACCTTGGAAATGTGTGAGCTGTTTTCAGTTATCATAATCACTGGCATTTAGTGAGCTTGGGCTAAATTATAGCATTCTTGTTGGGCTTCTAAAGGGACTTGGAGAGAATATAGGAAGGCCTTCTGTATTAGGGCCAATCCTGCTGGGGTCTTGAAAGACGAGGAAGAGTTCACCACGTGCACCGGAGGGTAGTCCAGGGGGAGGAGTCACCCTGAGTACAGGCCAGGAGGAGGCGGTGGGACCCGACCAAGTGGAGAAGGGAGGGTCGCAGGCAGGCCGAGCCCCTGAGGCCCCCATTTCCCTTACCCTGCCTGTTCTTCTTTCTTTCCTGGATGCAGACGGAGCCGTGGTGTGCACGCTCCAGTTCCCCAGCCCCAGCTGGTACTGGGACACGGTGACCAAGATCTGCGTGTTCGTCTTCGCCTTCGTGCTGCCCATCCTCATCATCACCGTGTGCTACGGCCTGATGCTGCTGCGCCTGCGCAGTGTGCGCGTGCTCTCGGGCTCCAAGGAGAAGGACCGCAGCCTGCGGCGCATCACGCGCATGGTGCTGGTGGTGGTGGGCGCCTTCGTGGTGTGCTGGGCCCCCATCCACATCTTCGTCATCGTCTGGACGCTGGTGGACATCAACCGGCGCGACCCGCTCGTGGTGGCCGCGCTGCACCTGTGCATCGCGCTGGGCTACGCCAACAGCAGCCTCAACCCCCTGCTCTACGCCTTCCTGGACGAGAACTTCAAGCGCTGCTTCCGCCAGCTCTGCCGCTGGCCCTGCGGCCGCCAGGAGCCCGGCGGCTTCAACCGCGCCCGGGAAGCCACGGTCCGCGAAAGGATCACCGCCTGCACCCCGTCCGAGGGTCCTGGTGGCACCACTGCCTGACCAGGCCTGGCTGGCCCACCTGGCGGTCACCCCGAGTGCTAAGGGGGGTGGGAGCCAGGGCGCCGCAGGAGGAGAAAGGGGGCCTCTGTTTGGAAAAACAGACCCGGGCTTGGGATGGGCCAGGGGCCCAGAGATGGGGCCCCTGCGGTGGGTGGATCTCTGGGGCGGGGCAGAGGGCTGGGCGGTGGGCTGTGCCTCTGGACTGGGCCTGGTCAAAGGCTCTGGGTGGAGGACGAGCTGCCAACTCCTAGGGGGTAGGACCTGTGGCTCTAGACCTGGGCGGATAAATAGGGCCTCTACCTTGGGGAGAGCTTCACGTTCCAACCCTGAGCTGGGCTTGCCAGTGAGGGTGCGGACTGAGCCCTGAAGATGTCCGGCCAGGACCCCTGGGGCAGTGGTGGGGACAGTGACTTGAGAATTGAGCTGCAAGATCGGGCTTCTGTGTAGCGAGGAGAGGCCTCTTCTCAGACCCAACACAAGGACAGGACTGGGAGGCGTAGCTACTGCTCAAGATTGGGCCTCAGAGATAGGCCCTGTGTGCAGGGGACAGGGGCCTCAACTTTGGGCGAGAGGCCCAGCCCTGAGTCTAGCAGGAGGTGGGGCTCAAGGCTGGGCTTGCCCAGGTCCAGGTCCAACTTGCCATCTCTAGAAATAAAAAGAAGAGAAAAATAGAGAGGGAGAGAAAAAAACGTACCTTCTCGCTCCTTGACAGTCATTTCCTTGGAATGGGCAGGGTGCCTCAGCATGGAGGTAGCGTCCCCAGCGCTGCACCTCAGTGGGGTGGCTCCAGGATAGGGTAGCGGAACAGGGCCGGGGTTGGGGTTGACTCCTCAGCCCCAGTCCCTAACGGGGCTCAGAAGGAGCAAGGAGGCTTCGTGGCTTCAGTTCCAAAACCGAAGCTGCTGGTTGGCCTCAGTGCCAAGGGGTGGTGGTGGGTGGGCTGAGGCAGGAAGTGGAGGTGGTGGTGCTGCTGGTTTGGCTTTGAGGTTAGGTCCTGAAGCCAGTGGACAGATGCCGTTGGGGGTTCCCCAGGACCCTGGCTTTTCTGGCCCAGGTGCTGTAGGACAGAGGACTGGGGGTCAGAGCTCCGTGGAGGGTAAGTGCCCCTGGGACTGGGAAGGCATCTGAAGCACCAGCGCAGACTGCCCTGCCCCCTGCTCCCGGCCCGGGGCTCCTGGGAAGAAGCTCCAAGAATTCCTCTTTCTCCCCACATCTGGCTGCCCCCGCTGTGTCCATTGTTCCTGGAAAGCTGGAACGGCCCACGTGGGGACCGGAATCTGAAGGAACTGGGCCGGGTGGAGGGAGGGAGGAGAAGGCCTTTATAACTGCAATGCTCCTGTCAGTGCGTGCTCCCCGCTGCCTTTTCCCTGAACCCCCAGGTCCCCCACCTGCTCTCGCTGCCCCCTTCAAGCTGCTGAGAGGCAGGTGCACCCAGAGCTAGGCAGAGAGTATTTCATTTCATTTGTGGGGCATTTTATTGAGGCGAGCCCAGATCTTTGCTTCCCTCAGTACCAGGGTCTGTCCTTGGTCCCTGGCCTCCCCTTGCTTTATCTTCCCCGCCCCCAGCTTTCCCCTTCCTCACACATGCGCAGCCTCAGTCAAGCACCCTGGCTCCCTATTGAGGCAGTGTTCTGACATCCTTGTAAAAACATTTAATCATCTTTCCTTTGGGGGACAGATGGCAAGAAATTGACGTCTGTCACAAGTGGGAAAAGAAATAAAAGGGGGGGAAAAAGGGAAGAAACAATGTACCTCTTCTCCCTTTGACAGCCATTTCCTTGGAACAAAAGCCTTTCCCTGTCTGGGAGGCTGTCACTCAGCAGGGGCTGAACTGGCATTCAGCAAGGTGGGGGCTGAGGCACCAGGGTGGGCTTTGGGCACATTAGGAGCAGGGATACCCTTGGTTGGCAAAGCACAGTCCCCTTCTCAGGGCGAGGTCCCCGGAAGCTTCAGACCTGGGACTTTTCTCTTCCTGAGAGAGGCTCCCCTAATGCCTTGGGAAGATGCGGGGCTGTGCCCAGCACTCAGACCCGCTGCTAAGTTACCGAGGTCTGGGATCCCTGCTCACTTTCACCCTTCAAATGGAGCCTGAGACCATGGGACCTCTGTGTCTGAATGAGGGTGGGTATCAGCAAGGTGGGGGCACTCCTGGACACTCCTCATCCCCTGGGACCCCTCCTGTGAACGCCTTGGGGAGATGTCAGGGGAAGCAGACCATTTAGGAACCAGGGAAGACTCCTGAAGGGGGTGATGTTGGGACCACGTCTGTTTCTTTTCCTTGCAATCGCTGTGTCCCCTTTAATTCCTCCTAGAACAGGCTGCTCAAGGTTGCCCCAGGTCTGTCCACTACCGTTTCCTGTGGCTAGAACAGACTGGCTCCCTTTTACTACTTCTCATACATAAATTTGTCCTGGGGTCAGCAGGGGCTGGGTCCAGACCATGCGCATTTAAGGGAAAGCAAATTTGTATGGAGATGTATGCCATGCCAGGCTGTGAGCACGCTGGGCACTGGGACTTGGAAATGAGTCAGGTACTGCCCTGCCCTCAGAAAGTTTGAGCCCGTGTTGGAGACAAAGCATAAGCGATGATTGCATCTCCCTGTGATGTGTGTAGCCACAGGGAGCCCTGGGAGGGTGTCACAGGGAAGTACCTTTTCTAGCTTTGCACGGAAACAGATTTGTAGCAATTCTGAAAGAGGTGGAAAATGGTGAGAGGGCCTTGATGCATGACTAGGAGTTGGCCACTAAGAAGAGGGAACAGCGTGTGCAAAATCAGGGAGATGTTCCAGCGCTTGGCAAACCTGAGAAGTTGTGTGCAGCTGGAGCGTGGGGCTTAACCGAACGTGTCTGATGACATTCCTGGGGGGACATGGTGGGAGTAGTACTATTACCCTTATTTTAGACAAGAAGTCAGGCTCAGAGAGGTCCAGCCACTCACCCTAAGTCACAGAGCTTGTTAGTGGTAGCGGAACTCAGGTCAGTGGAATTCCAGGGTCCAGTTTCCAGGAATTTAATGATGAATTCCAGACATCATTGAAGTAGAAGAGCTGTAGAACCCTGGGATGAGGTTTTGAAGACTTAAAACCAAATGGGAAGACTTGAAGGAAAAGGGCAATTTTCCATGAACTTTTGTTCCACCTGGCACTCTAACTCTTCACATTTTAAAATGTACTGGAGCCCTACTTGGTTTGGCTCAGTGGATGGAGCATCGGCCTGCAGACTGAAGGGTCCTGGGTTCGATTCCAGTCAGGGGCACATGCCTGGGTGGTGGGCTCAATCCCTAGTAGGGGGGCTGCAGGAGGCAGCCAGTTGATGATTCTCATCATTGATGTTTCTATCTCTCTCTCCCTCCCCCTTCCTCTCTGAAATCAATAAAAATATTTAAAAAAATAAAATGTACTGAACATGATGCATTTTAAAGCTCCAAATTAACAGTGTAATTCTAGAGCATCACAGGGCTCTCAAACTAGAGTAGATCTCATGTCCCCCGAATTCCCATTCCTCTCTCTTCAGGAGGTGGGAGGGAAGGAAATTATTGTCTCCTACAATTTCAGATCTCTCGGAATAGAAGTAGTGGTTGTGGCTGGAATCAGATCGTGGCTTTCCCTTTCTGTGCCTCTGTTTCCTCATCTGTAGAATAAATTTCTTTCATGGGGCTGTGAGGATTTGATGAGTTAAAGTATAGCAAGTCCTCCCTTAACTTCATCTCTAGTTTCTTGGAAAGTGCAACTTTAGGTGACATGATGTATAACAAAACCATTTTACATAGGCTAATTGATATAAGCAAGAGTTAAGTTCCTACAGGATATTTCTGGCCACAAAAACATCACACTGTCCTATATAATAAAAGCCTAATATGCAAATTGTCCCCTCAACTGGGAGTTCGACCAGGAGGTGGGGCCAGCCGGCCAACCATGGGAAGGGAGGCCCAGGCTGGTGGCGGTGGCAGGCAGCAGGGGGGAAGGGAGGCCCCAGGGGGCAGTCTCTAGGGACCCTACCCATGCACAAATTTCGTGCTCTGGGCCTCTAGTTTCTAAATAAAGACCCCAAATGCTTCTAATATTAAACATCAAAGTCAATGTGAGCTATACATACATTTAAGAAAGAGTAATTAAAAAAAGTATGATGATTATTTTCTGACTCCCTTATTCTAGTTCAGGATCACAGGTGGCCACAGCCTCTCCAGGCAGCTCATAGTGCAAGGTGGACAGGAGGTTCTCCTATCACAGGTCACATCTCTCTCTCTCTCTCTCTCTCTCTCTCTCTCTCTCTCTCTCATAATTTAGACGTGTCAATTCACCTCACGTGCACACCTTTAGAATGTGGGAGGAAGCTAGAGTATCCAGAAAACCCCCACACAGACAAGGAGAGAACACGCAAACCCCAGACGGGCCCCAGCTGGGAATCAATTCTTTTCTCATCACTGTTATAATGAATCGATGCTGAAGGAAAGGACATCATTTGGGGAGCTGCTGTATAGGGTTCAGGGCATAAGTAGGCTCTTAGCACATGGTTAGTCACTGTTATTACTTACAAGTGGACCTGCAGTGCAAGGTCAGAGCTAGAGACCTAGAGGGAAAGTAGATGAGCTTCCAGGGCAGTAATAGGAGAAGAGACTGGGGACCCAGCCTAGGGATCCCTCTAGGCTCAGGAGCCACTGCGGAGAGTGAGAAGCTGGAGGAGGACGGGGAGATGTGCTGCCATGGAAACTGGAGGAGGAGGGCGTTCCCAGAGGGAGGGAGTGATGGATAATGTCAAGTGTCATAAGAGAGGTTGGGGGTGGGGAGGGCAGGAGAGTGATGAGAGTAAACCAGAGTCCTCAAGTTCAGTCTCCTACCTGGCCTGCAATCCAATCTCAGCTCTGAAGCTAACTGGCTGTGTGACCTAGGCAAGGGATTTGCCCTCTCTGGGCTTCGGTGTCTTCCTAGATCTAAGTCCAAGGAATGGGTCCGGCTCTAATATGATGCTTAGTCTCATAAGAATCCTGATTTTTCTGTTTGTTGGCCACTTGCTAGCAGTGTGATTGCAGGCAA